CCCCTTTTTTTCAGGGAAATTATCTGGAAGTTTTTCTTTCCCGCCTCCTATCGTCCCTTGGAGGTTCCCCGAGCCGACGAACTGAATCCTCACCGAGCCAATGAGAGGTTTCTGCTCAAAGTCATCAGTCAAACTGACGTCCGCCTCGACCTCTGGTTCTCGGCCGACCGCGTAGCAAAGGTAAACCCCCATTGTAGTCTCACTTTCCTCCGCCGTCGTTTTATACATCCTGTATCCCACGCCTTATTACCACAAAAGAAGGGGAGCTTCTGTAAAAACTAAGAAACTGCAGAAAATAATAGATTCGCTAAAAGGCGTATAGTTGGACATTTGCTAATTTCGCTACCCATATATGCAGTCTGCAGCGTCCTCTGCCTACCCTGTCTTATAAGGCATGCGGCCTGCCGTGCACCAACTTTTGAGTAGATTGCTGACTGCGAGTGTGTCGTGTCCGTCTGCTCGGCCGCAGTTTGCGGCAGTAACAGCCGTCTCTGGCCGGACTCACGTTCGTCTGGTAGTAGTAGAGATCACATGGTGCGATCTGGAAGACATTTCCCTTTGGTGTTTTAATCTCCAGCTTGGCTTTGTGGTCACCTTTATTTTATCCCCAAGTATTCCGTTTTATTTTTCTTCTGATTCCTCTTAACACGAATTGAGGCTAATTGAGACTGAACGCGTGCCTAGATCGCGTGTACACGAGCATAACTTGGCTGTAAGAGGGAGTGATAAGTGGCTGCCCGCACCTACGAACGGATCGTGAGTTTACCTACACAGCCACGGAGATAATAGCCCGCACCAGAAGCAAGACAAGCCGGAAATCGGTTGAAGCCTGGGCCTCTGATGAGAGCTCATTCAGTCGATTTATCGACCTGGCAACTGCATACAGAGCCCTGCGCAGTCACATTCGGACTGGCGTTTGATTGGCCCCTGCTCTCCCCCCATCCCTATAACTGTTGCTTGTTTATCTCTGACGAGGGGCTTTAGTAAGATAAACAAAACTATAATTCCAGCGGACGAAGGCCCTTCTTCTTTTATTATGCAATAGTATGTTTTTGCAGTCATTTTCAGTGTTGGGCAAGTCAAACTCTGTCTTTGAGCTGAACTTGCCCTGGACCAGCGGCCCCAATGGTTTCACCTCGAGTATGCATCTGTGTCTATCCCACGGTCGCCTCGTCACTGACTGCCTCTGGCCGGAAGTCTTGCTGACCTCGGAGTTTAAGATGGATCTGCGGATACACTACCCCCTCGAGTGGAATGCACTGCAAACCTGGGACTTTGATATTGACGGAAAGGAGGCCAAATTTTGCTTCCTTTACAATCAGAAGAACTACTTCAAGGGTGTGTGCCTCAACATATACAAAGGCTTTCAAATCTCTTTATTTCTTCTTTGCGCCGTTTTTATGATAAAATGTTGTGCAGGTTTATACCACCCTCCCTTTGCTTTGCTCATAACTCAAATTCACCCTGTGACTTAGTTGCCGCACTGACAATTTTTCGCTTTGTCCTATACGAATAACATTACCATGGAGCATTTTCCTGCGACTAAATGACAAAAAGCTAGTCGCAAAACCTTTACCAGATGGTAGGGCCTTGCCTGCACTGACATTCCATATAATTAGAAATTATTTAGCCAGTCTGCCATCTCATTTTACTTACTTACTTGTACTTGCTACGGCTGCGATCATGACTGATCTAGCCGGCCTCAATTATGTCCCGTACGGTACTTTTCCACGCGCGACGATCCGTTGCAGCAGACCTGAACACTTCGAGCCATTCTTTTCGTCAGCGCCGGAGACCAAATACCGAAGGTCCAAAAACCACTTCCATGTCTTGACGGACTGAGTCAAGCTAGGTTTTGAGTTGACTCCCTCTTCGACGTTTCCAATTAGGCAACGGTTTCAA